ATATTGGAAAAGAGAGGCTTGGGCACTCCCAGACTACAGAAATCCTGGGAGCAGGGGCTTTGGGACACACCCAGACCCTCAAAATCCTAAGAACAGGGGGGTTTGGGACACGTCAGCCCCTCAAAAACTCCAGAATAGGGGGGTTGGGAACATTGACACCCTAAAACTCCTTAGAACAGGGGCATTTGGGCAATGTCATCCTCCCAATAACCCAGGAACAGGGGGGTTTGCCATCTCCCAGCCCCAAGAAATCCTGGAAAGAGAGGTTTAGGTACTCCCAGACCCCAACTTTTTGAGGAGGGAGGGGTTGGGGGGTCCTGGAAAGGCACTGGGAGGGGACTGGGAGAGACTGGGAGAGACTGGGAGGTGCTAGAAGGGACTGATGGCACTGGTCCCTGTCACTGGTGGCATTGGTGTCACTGGTGTCACTGGTCCCTGTAACTGATCCCACTGGTCCGACTGTTCTCACAGGTGTCACTGGTCTTACTGGTGTCATTGGTGTCACTGGTGTCTCTGGTCCCTGTAACTGATCCCATTGGTGTCACTGGTCTCCCTGGTGTCACTGGTCACAACTCTGGGGGTCTCTGGACAGTCCCTGGGGGTCCCCGGGGGATGCTCAAACGGCGCCGTGAGACTCCCAAAATCCAAGACAGACAAAGATTCCTCTCAGACCAAAAGTGCCAGGACAGAAATCTCCTCCTGGACACGGAGTCCGTGTCCCCCTGTTCCCCCTCGCCCCCAGCCCCTTTTCTCTCCCCCCCTTTCCTCTCCCCCCCTTTTCTCTCCCCGCCGGCGGCCGCAGCCCCTCCCCGTGGCCTCGGACCCAGTCGGGACCCGCCCCCGATCCCACCGGCCCTCAGCCAATCCCAAAGCGCCCACGCCGCCCGCGCCCAATCCCAGCGCGCCGCGCTGATGACTCATCAGTCGCCGGGAAGAACAGGCTCCAACAGGGCCCGAAACCGTCCCCAGGCTTTGCCCTCAGCCAATCAGAGAGCGCCCAAAAGCCCCCAAAAAGGACCCGCCCGGCTGGTTTTGGGCTGTCAGCAGCTGTCCGGCGCTGGGCATGGAGCGTGTGCGGGGAGCTGGGGCCGTGCTGGCGGTGCTGGTGGTGCTGGGAGCCCCCCCGGCTGCGGGTGAGGACCTGTCAGGTGAGCGGGGGGGTGTGAAAGGGGGGGAAAGAGGGGAGAAAAGAGGGGGTGGGAGCCCCAAAAAAGTGAGTGCGAGGGGGTTTGGAAGGCCCGGAGTGAGTGGGAGGGGGAGTGGGAGCCCCAAAGTGAGGGCGGGGGGGTCTGGGGATTGTGGGGCCGGTGGGAAAGGGGTGGGAGAGGGGGGCAAGGGGGTGTGGGAGAGCTGGCAGAGGGGTGCCCTGTGGGTCCCTGGGTGTTCCTTGAGCCCTGGAGCGGTTCCCTGGGGCTCTAGGGGGGTCGGATCGACATTGTGGGGGTCCCCAACCCCCCTGTCCACCCCGGGGGGCCGATGGGGGCGTTCCCCCCTACAAAGAGCCGGTGCTGGGGTGTCCGTGGGGCAGAGGGGATGGGAAAGGGGGGCCCGGGTTGCCCCCCTGAGCTCCCAGCCTGCTGTGGGGGGCTGGGGGATGATGGGGGGGACGGGGCACCCCCTGACCCGTGTCCTGCACACACAGGGGTGTTCCAGGAGATGGTAAAGTACGAGTGTCACTTCATCAACGGCACCGAGCGGGTGAGGTACGTGGTGAGGGTCATCTACAACCGGGAGCAGTTCGTGCACTTCGACAGCGATGTGGGGGTGTTTGTCGGGGACACCCCGTTTGGGGAGAAGGTTGCCAGGTACTGGAACAGCGACCCAGAATTCATGGAGAGCAAACGGTCTGCGGTGGACTGGCTGTGCCGGCACAACTACGGGGTGTACACTGCCTGCCGTGGAGAGGAGAGGTGAGCGTGGGGCAGAGCGGGTCCCCTCGGGCCCTGCCCCGGGAATGACCCTGGAGCCCCTCAAACCCTCCCTGTGCCCATCCCGTGGCCTCTTTCGCCCTCCTAGTTCTTCCCAGTTTACTCCAGTCTGTCCCGGTCCATCCCAGTGTCTCCCAGTGCCCCCCCGCGTCTCCATGCGTTCATGTCATCGAGCTCCCGCCAGTCAGCCAATGAGAGTACGCCTCTCTATGACTCATCTGTTGCCAGGCAGACCCAAGGCAAAGAGTTCCCCCACTACGACTCAGCCTCCCAGTCCCGATCGCTTCCTTCCCAGGCCAGACCAGTCACACCCAGTCCTTCCCAGTCACACCCAGTCCTTCCCAGTCACTCCCAGTCCAGACCAGTCATTCCCAGTGACTCTCACTCCATTCCCAGACCCTCTCGGTCCACTCGCAGACCCTCTCAGTCCATTTCCAGTCGTTCTCACTTCACTCTCACATCTCCCAACTCTCTCCCCAGTGTCCCCCCAGCCCAGCCCCTTCTCCCCCACTCTATTCCCAGTCCCTCCCACTGCCATCCCAGTCCCTCCCACTGCCATCCCAATCCCCACCAATGTCATCCAAGCCCTCTGCCCTCCCTCCCAGTGCCCCCCAGCTCAGCCCAATGTCTCCCCCGTCCTTCCCAGTGCCCCCCAGCGTGTCCATCTCGCTGGTGCCGTCGAGCTCCCAGCCCGGCCCCGGCCGCCTGCTCTGCTCCGGGATGGATTTCTACCCTGCGCCGGTGCAGGTGAGGTGGTTCCAGGATGGGCAGGAGCTGCCGGAGCACGTGGTGGCCACCGACGTGGTCCCCACCGGGGACTGGAGCTGCCAGGTGCTGGTGCTGCTGGAAATCCCCCCCCAGCGCGGGGTCACCTACAGCTGCCAGGTGGAGCACGTCAGCCTGGAGCACCCCCTCAGCCGGCACTGGGGTACGGCCCGGCCCCCCCAGCACCGGGGGCACACTGGGGGCGACTGGGAGGGAGTTTGGGGGGAGCTGGGGGTGCTGGGAGGGGGGTTGGAGAGTCCTAAAGGGGCCGGGAGGGGCTGGGTGTGATCCCTAAAGGGGCCTGGGAAGGGACTGGCAGAAGGTTTCAGGGAGCGCTGGGTGGGCTGGGAGGTTAGGACGGAGTCTCTGGGGTCCCACGTGGTTTGTGGGAGGTTTTGGGGGTGCTGACCCCCCCGGCTCCCCCCAGAGATGCCACCGGACACCGTCCGCAGCAAGATCCTGGTGGGGGTCAGGGGCTTCGTCTTGGGCTTGGTCTTCCTGGCGCTGGGGCTCGGCTTCTACCTGCGGGAGAAGGTAAAGGGGGGTCCCCAAATGGGGGTCGTGGTCCCCCTCTTGCTCTTCCACAGCCTCTGGGCCCCCCTTGCCCCCCCAGCCCCTTTTCTCTCACCCCCTTTTCTCTCCCCACAGAGCTCCTGAGCCGCCGGCGGCCGCAGCCCCTCCCCGTGGCCTCGGGCCCAGCCGGGACCCCCCAAACCATGCTCTGATTTGGGGGTGTCGCCTGTCCCCCCCTTCCCTGCTTTTGTTCTCACCCCACCCAGCTGTTCCCAGTGTTCCCAGTAAAGCTTCTCAGTGCTCTGTAGTCCTGTTTGTTGGGGGCACTGATGGGGGGGGCTTTGAAAATCCTGGGAACGGGGGGGTTTGGGCATATCCAGTCCTCAAAAATGATGGAGAATGGTTTGGGCAATCCCGGACCCTAAAACTGCTGGGAAGAGGGGGGTTTGGGCACATTCCAGCTCCTCGAATCTTGGAAAAGAGGGGTGTGGGCACCATCAGTGTTTGAAAAACACAGGAACAGAGGGTTTGAGAACATTCAGACTCCAAAAGTCTTGGGAACACAAGGGGTATGGGCTCTCCTACACCCTAAAACTCCGAGGGACAGGGGTGTTGGAGAACTCTTAGACCCCAAAATATTGAAAAGTAGGGGCTTGAACACTCCCAGACTCCACCAAAATCCTGGGAACAGGGGGTTTGAGCACTCCCAGAAACAAAAAATCCTGTATAAGAGAGGTTTAAGCACTCACAGACCCCAAAAATTGTCAGAACAGGGGAGTTTAGGCACTCAGAGGCCCCAAAAATTCTGAGAACAGGGGGTTTCAGAGCATTGAGATAAAAAAATATTGGTAACACGGGGGTATGGGCTCCCCTAGACCTTAAAAGTCATAGGAACAAGGTTGTTAGGGCAGTCCCAGACTCCAAAATATTGGAATAGAGGGGTTGGGACATTTCCACATCCTAAAGTTCCTGGGAACAGGGGGGTTTGGGCAGTCCCAGACCCTAAAAATCCTGGGGAACGGTGGTTTGGGCACACCCAGAGGCCTAAAATACTGACAACAGGACGGATTGAGCACTCCCAGACCCTCAAAATCCTGAGAACAGGGGGGATTGGGACACGTGAGCCCCTCAAAAACACCAGAATAGGGGGGTTGGGAACACTGACACCCTAAAAGTCCTTAGAACAGGGGGATTTGGGCAATGTCTCACTCCCAATAACACAGGAACAGGGGGGGTTGTGGTCTCCCAGCCCCAAGAAATCCTGGAAAGAGAGGTTTAGGTACTCCCAGACCTCCAAAATTGTGAAAACAGAAGGGTTACGACACTCCCAGACCCAAAAACTCCTGAGAACAGGGGGATTTGAGCAATACAAGACCCCCAAAATCCCGGGAACAGGGGGTTATTGGGAACACGCGGCCACCCCGAACATAATTCCAACGCATCCAGATCACCTTAAATGCCATCTCCGGAAATCCGGGACCCTCCAAAACCCACCTTGGACCCCCCCAGCCCCGGGGCTGCCGCGGGGGCCCCCAACGGCCCTCAGCCAATCCCAAAGCGCCCACGCCGCCCGCGCCCAATCCCAGCGCGCCGCGCTGATGACTCCTCAGTCGCCGGGAAGACGCCTCGAAAAAAGGGCCCCAACTGCGCCCTCAGCCAAGCCCAGCGCGCCCCAAACCCCCCAAAACGGCGCCGCCCGGCTGGTTTGAGGCTGTCAGCAGCTGTCCGGCGCTGGGCATGGAGCGTGTGCGGGGAGCTGGGGCCGTGCTGGCGGTGCTGGTGGTGCTGGGAGCCCCCCCGGCTGCGGGCGAGGAGCTGTCAGGTGAGCGGGGGGGTGTGAAAGGGGGGGAAAGAGGGGAGAAAAGAGGGGTTGGGAGCCCCAAAAAAGTGAGTGGGAGGGGGGTTGGAAGGCCCGGCCTGAGTGGGAGGGGGGTGGGAGCCCCAAAGTGAGTGCGGGGGGTGTGGGGATTGTGGCGCCGGTCAGAAAGGGGTGGGAGAGGGGGGCAAGGGGGTGTGGGAGAGCTGGCAGAGGGGTGCCCTGTGGGTCCCTGGGTGTTCCTTGAGCCCTGGAGCGGTTTCCTGGGGCTCGGGGGGGGTCGGATCTGCATTGGGGGGGTCCCCAGCCTCCCTGTCCATCCTCGGGGGGCTGATGGGGGGCTTCCCCCCTATCCGAGAGCCGGTGCTGGGGCGTCCGTGGGGCAGAGGGGGGTGGGAAAGGGGGTTCCGGGGTGGCCCCTGAGCTCCCAGCCTGCTGTGGGGGGCTGGGGGATGATGGGGGGGACGGGGCACCCCCTGCCCAGTGTCCTGCACACACAGGGGTGTTCCAGGAGATGGTAAAGTCCGAGTGTCACTTCATCAACGGCACCGAGCGGGTGAGGTACGTGGTGAGGGTCATCTACAACCGGGAGCAGTACGTGCACTTCGACAGCGATGTGGGGGTGTTTGTCGGGGACACCCCGATTGGGGAGAAAGTTGCCAGGTACTGGAACAGCGACTCAGAATTCATGGAGAGCAAACGGTCTGCGGTGGACTGGCTGTGCCGGCACAACTACGGGGTGTACACTCTGCCTGCCCTGGAGAGGAGAGGTGAGCGTGGGGCAGAGCGGGTCCCCTCGGGCCCTGCCCCGGGAATGACCCTGGAGCCCCTCAAACCCTCCCTGGGAATCACCCCAGATCCCTCAACCCTCCCTGTGCCCATCCCGTGGCCTCTTTCGCCCTCCTAGTTCTTCCCAGTTTACTCCAGTCTGTCCCGGTCCATCCCAGTGTCTCCCAGTGCCCCCCCGCGTCTCCATGCGTTCATGTCATCGAGCTCCCGCCAGTCAGCCAATGAGAGTACGCCTCTCTATGACTCGCCTTTTTTCGAGGCGTCTTCCCGGCGACTGATGAGTCATCAGCGCGGCGCGCTGGGATTGGGTGAGGGCGGCGTGGGCGCTTTGGGATTGGCTGAGGGCCGTTGGGGGCCCCCGCGGCAGCCCCGGGGCTGGGGGTTCGGGGGGGTCCGTGGGGGAGGGGGAAGCTCAGGTGAACCCAAAAATGGGCATCCAGGGAGTGCAGAGAATTGGGAAGCTTTACTGGGAACACCGGTAGCAGTTGGCTGGTGTCAGAACAAAAGCAGGTACAGGGGGATAAACGACCCCCCCAAAATCAGCGCGGGGATGGATTGGGGGGTCGAGGCTGGGACGCTCAGCCCTCCAAGGACCCCCCCAAATCTCTTCTCAGCCTTTCCATTTCCCCACAAAGCCACTCCCATCCCCAAAAGGCTCCCACAAAACTCCCTCCCAGTTGCCCCCAGGACTCACCAAAGCCCCTCTCAGCCCTCCCAGTACCCACCAACCTCCTTCTCAGACTCTCCATTCCCCACCAGACCCTTTCCCTTACCCCCCAAACTCCCTCCCAGTTCCCCCCACAGCCCCCAGAGCCCCTCACCCCCCTCCCAGTGTGCCCCCGGTGCTGGGGGGGCCGGGCCGTACCCCAGTCCCGGCTGAGGGGGTGCTCCAGGCTGACGTGCTCCACCCGGCACCGGGGGGGATTTCCAGCATCCCCAGCACCTGGTAGGTCCAGTCCCCGTTGCCTCAAGAGAGCGCGGAGGAAAAGACTCCAGGCCAGGGGAGTGGATGAGATGAGATAAAGAGAGCAGGTCCTGTAGTGGAGCCTCAGGCCAGGGGAACACACACGACGTGCACCCCCAGGCAGTGGCTCTGGGATTTTAGAACAAGGTCCATCCAACCCCAGATCTCTCCACCCCCCACTTCTGCCCCGTTCTGCCCCCGACACACCCCTTTGGGAATTGGGCTTGGGGTCTTTGGGACCCCTTCTTCCTCAGCTTCATCTTCTTCGCAGCACCCACAGTCCTTGGAGCTCCTCCAAAGTTCTGGGCTTGAAGGTGGCTGTGTCTGTGTGATGTCTTCTGCTCCAGGCTTTTCTACAATTCTACCTTGAAAAGAAGACTAAACACGCTAACGGGATTTAGAGGGGTTGATATGGGATGGGGTAACAGGGTTGGGGATGTCCAAACATTATGCTACAGGGTAAGGGATAGAATGCAGCTGCATTAAAATCTACAATCACTACACCACTACTTCTGAAATCTACCAAAGTTAAAAATTCCAAAAAGCTCTGAGGCATCACACCTCTTCTTTTACAGTTCTATCACAACTTTTTATAAGTCAATCATATTATATTATAGAGCTCCATTTCTATGTTGTTAGGTACACCTTTTATATACTTTTATATAACTTTTATAAACTTTTTAATGTATTAATAAAATCCCAGGGATCTTGCTTGGAACTCCCCGGATCCAGGGACCGAGAGGATCTCCCTGAATAACACTTTCAGTGGGCACTGGAATCTTCAGGGTCCTGGAACCCCTGGAGCATCAACAGCTTTGTCCCTCCAAAGGGGTCCCAATTTGTTTCCAATGGTTCAAGAATACAAAAATAAACCAAATACCAGTTTCCAAAACCAAATCAACTTATAAGTCCAGAAATCACAAGTTAATATCCAAAATAGCAGAAAGGATTTCTTCAAGATTCTTTCTTTGCAACCTGAAGTACCCATTATACAAAAGAAACCAAATACCTGTTTCCAAAACCAAATAAACCAAAGACCAGTTCCAGAACCAAATAAACCAATGAGTCCAGACTCCCAAATTAATATCCAAAATCATGGCTGGGCTTCGCGAACGAAGATTTGGGAAGGGCTCTCCCCACATTTGCTACAAGCACACTGGTGGCTAAAGAGGCCAATACGAGACAGACACGTCCAGTTGCAAAAGGCAGAGCAGAAAGACTCCTTGGATGGGATCGACAGGACACGGTTCTTTCTGCGTTGTCTTTTCTCCTCGATGGTGATCCTGCTGCGTTCTCAAAGGAAGCAGCAGCGTTAGAGATGGGGTGTCTCCAGACCTCCCGACTGGAGGCCAGAGTAGACCAATGATGAAGATCAATGTGGCCAAGGCTGAGATGTTGTTTCAGGCAGTCCTTGTATCTCCTCTTCGGGGCTCCTCTCTTGCAGCAGCCGGTGGCAAGTTCACCACAGAGCACGATCTTAGGGAGGCAGTGGTTGGTCCTTCATCCTGGAGACGTGCCCTGCCCAGCACAGCTGTGTTCTCAGCAACATGGCCTCAATGCTTGTGACTGCTGCCTGTTCTAGAACAGATGGATTGGTCACATCATCTGACCAGTGGATGTTTAGGATTGTACGGAGGCAGCGTTGATGGAAGCGTTCCAAGAGTTACAGAATCACAGAATCACAGAATCGATTGGGTTGGAGAAGACCTCCGAGATCATCCAGTCCAACCCTTGGTCCAAATCCAGTCCATTTACTAGATCATGGCACTCAGTGCCACGTCCAATCTGCGTTTAAAAATCTCCAGGGATGGTGAATCCACCACCTCTCTGGGCAGCCCATTCCAATGCCTGATTACTCTCTCTGTAAAGAATTTTCTCCTGATATCCAACTTAAATTTCCCCTGGCGGAGCTTAAGCCCGTGCCCCCTTGTCCTATTGCTGAGTGCCTGAGAGAAGAGACCAACCCCCACCTGGCTAGAACTTCCCTTCAGGTAGTTATAGACGGTGATGAGGTCACCTCTGAGCCTCCTCTTCTCCAGGCTAAACAACCCCAGCTCCCTCAGCCTCTCCCCATAGGACTTATGCTCCAGTCCCTTCACCAGCCTTGTTGCTCTTCTCTGGACCCGCTCCAGCACCTCAATATCCTTTCTGAACTGAGGGGCCCAGAACTGAACACAATACTCAAGGTGTGGCCTCACCAACGCAGAGTACAGGGGAAGGATCACTTCCCTGCTCCTGCTGGCCACGCTATTTTTGATACAGGACAAGATCCCATTGGCCTTCTTGGCCACCTGGGCACACTGTTGGCTCATGTTGAGCTTCCTGTCAATTAGTACCCCCAGGTCCCTTTCTGCCTGGCTGCTTTCCAGCCACTCTGTGCCCAGCCTGTAGCGCTGCAGGGGGTTGTTGTGGACAAAGTGCAGGACCCGGCACTTGGCTTTATTGAACTTCATCCCATTGGAATCAGCCCATCTCTCAAGTCTATCCAGATCCCTCTGCAGAGCCCTCCTGCCTTCCAGCAGGTCGACACTCCCTCGCAGTTTGGTGTCATCAGCAAATTTGCTGATGATGGACTCAATCCCCTCATCTAAATCATCAATAAAGATATTAAACAGGACTGGACCCAACACAGACCCCTGGGGACCACCACTGGTGACCGGCTGCCAGCTGGATGCAGCTCCATTCACCAGCACTCTCTGGGCCCGACCCTCCAGCCAGCTCCTAATCCAGGAGAGGGTACACTTGTCCAAGCCATGGGCTACCAGCTTTTCCAGGAGTATATTATGGGAGACAGTGTCAAAGGCCTTGCTGAAGTCTAGATAGACCACATCCACAGCCTTCCCCTCATCCACCAGGTGGGTCACCTGATCGTAAAAGGAGATCAGGTTGGTCAGACAGGACCTGCCCCTCCTAAACCCGTGCTGGCTGGGTCTAATCCCTTGTCCATCCTGAAGGTGCTGTGTGATTGCACTCAGGATGATCTGCTCCATAACCCTGCCAGGCACCGAGGTCAGGCTGACAGGCCTGTAGTTGCCAGGGTCCTGCTTGCAGCCTTTTTTGTGGATTGGGGTGACATTCACCAACCTCCAATCATCTGGGACCTTCCCAGAGAGCCAGGATTGTTGGAAGATGATGGAGAGTGGTTTGGCAAGGTCTTTTGCCAGCTCCCTCATCACCCTGGGGTGGATCCTGTCTGGTCCCATAGACTTGTTAGGATCCAGCTGGCTCAGTAAGTCACTAACTACATCCTCCTGGAATACAGGAAGGCTATTCAGCTCTCTGTCTCTGTCTATCTGCTCTAGAGGCCAGTTGTCCTGAGGGCCACCTGTCTTACTGCTAAAAACTGATCAGGTGGGGTTTGGCTGCCATTCAGGCATCACCTTATACTGGGTACTGGCCCTACGTGGTGTAATGTGGAACTGATCAAATGGGGTGTCGGGACTGCTGAGCTGAGCGATCCTCATCCTACCACCGAGCCTGTTGCTCCGCGGGGACGCCCGCTAAGCACGGGCACCGACCAGCTGCTGCAGATCCTGACAGCCCTGGCCTGTCTGTGGGGGTCAGCACAGTTTATTGACAGGAAGCAACTGAGAGAACAAACGTTTTAATATCCCTTTAGTGTCACTTCAATTCTCCTTTTATTATTGAATATTGTTACATAAAAAAGTTGTTCACAGTATTTCCCTTTAATTTCCCTTTTTACTAACCAAGATTGTGTTAATAGTTATCCATAATATTGTGTTAAGATCCCTTTTTTGGTATCCCTTTAACCCCCTTTTTTCACTAGTTAATACTGTATTAAATGCTGTTTGTAGTATTTGTTTTTAAGGCCACACAATAAGATATTTTGTATCCTTTTTTAGTTCTTGATTCTCTTGGCTAAGATGATTCTTATTATTATTCTCAGTGTAATAAAAGATATTTTTTGTGTTTGAATATTTCTGGCACTTCTCTTTATTCCAGACCTCTGGGCCGAGCCCGTGGGCATGAGGTTCAAGAGTGCCTTTGGTGCCTTTGGAGCCTCTGACCACAAGAACCCCCTGCAGCTCCAGGCCGGGGGCAGAGGAGCTGCAAAGGGTCCCCGTGGGAGAGGCCCTGGGGGTGCTGGTGGACAGAGGCTGAACCTGAGCCAGCGGGTGCCCGGGTGGGCAAGAAGGCCAAGGGCAGGTTGGCCTGGATCAGAAAGAGTGTGGCAGCAGGAGCAGGGCAGTGATGCTTCTGCTGGACTGGGCACTGCTGAGGCCACAGCTGGAGTGCTGTGTCCAGCTCTGGGCCCCTCAATTCAGGGAGAACCTTGAGGGGCTGGAGTGGGTGGAGAGCAGGGCAATGGAGCTGGGCAAGGGTCTGCAGTGCATGGCCTGTAAAGAGCAGGTGAGGGAGCTGGGCTTCTCCAAGTTGGAGAAGAGGAGGCTCAGGGCTGACCTTCTCCCTGTCCACAACTTCCTGACAGGAGGCTGGAGCCAGGTGGGGGTCAGCCCCTTCTCACAGGCAACAGGCGACAGGACAAGAGGACCCGAGGACCTGCCTGTCAGGGGCTGTTTGTCAGGGACAGGAGCAGGACTTTTTGGAGAGAAACAGGGATTAGGTATTGAAATGGGCTGCCCAGGGAGGTGGTGGAGTCAGCGTCCCTGGAGGTGTTTAAGCAAAGACTGGCCATGGCACTGAGTGCCGTGGTCTGCTTGACGGGCTGGGGATGGGGCGTAGGCTTGACCCCGGCTGATCTCACAAGTCTCTGCCAAGCTCAGGGACTCTGGGCTTCTGTGCCAGCCCAGCCTTTGGGGACAGCGTGCTGGTGGCTCCGAGGCTCCGTCCTTGCCTTGCCTTGCCCAGCTCCTGGCTGCCAGGCAAGGGCCTTGTGACATCACAGCCTCTGTGGAACAGCGCGGGGGCTGAAAACTGTCAGTGCTGCGTCCCCGTGCCCAGAGCCTGGGCAGAAGTCGGCGGGCAGGGACGGGCAGAGACTGTGCAGAGGTGTCAGCTCGTCCCGCAGCAGCACGATGCCCAGCCAGGGCATCTCCTGGCTCCTCAGGCTCTCGCTGCTCCTGCTCTTGCCTGGCCCACTCGAGCCTTGCAGCCGTGCCACAGGTGCCATTGCTGAGAACTGGGCTTTTCCTTGGATGGCCCCTTGCCAGCAAAGGCAGGAGAGGCTGGAGAGAGGGGAAGGAGGGGGGTCAGGCCGCTGGGATGGTGCCGGCGGGCTGTGAGCCCGAAGCCAGCAAGGCCTTGGGCCCACACGGTGTCAGGGGAGGACTGAGAGCCCCCAGGGAGGAGGAAAGCTGGGCAGGCCCCAAGGCTGCTGGGCCTCTTCCTTGCCAGCCCTTTGGCCAAGGCCCCCAGGCAGAGGTGGGGCTCAGCCCCTGCCCAGCAATGGGGCACAGGCTGAGCCCCAGGGACACCAGAGCCAGGCGGCCTGAGCTCTTCTTCCTGCAGCGTCTGCCTGGGGCAGCCCAGCCAGGCCTGAGTCTCTGCAGGAGAGGCCAAGCCCAGCCAGAGAGGGCTCAGCCCTCTGAGGCTGCACTCACTGCAAAGGGAACAAAACATTGGCCCACAGGACATCCTGCCCCCAAATGGAGAACTGGAAAGGTCAAGAATAAAAGAGTCACCCCCCTCCAATCTTCAAGAAATGTTCAGACCTCTTTCCTAAAAGCATCCAGGACTCGGGTCACCCAGTTTTCTCTTAGACAAGGGTTTTTCCATGGTTCCCCTCAATTCCCAGGTTCAAGGGGGTCCCAGCACACTTTGGGATGTGTTGGATGCTGTATTGGGGTGCAGATATCCCCCCAAAGCTCCCTCAGAACAGGGTGACACAAGGGGGGGGCACAGAGGGGTCCCCAATCCTGATCCATCTTGGAGCAACCACACTGGGGGCAAGGAGAAAGGAGTCACCATGTCCCTGTTCCCATCCCAGGGGATGGAGCCGGCTGTGAAGCCCCGGGAGAGTAAAAACTGCTCTGGAATCCCATCTGATCCTGCTCTGTCCATCCCACCCCAATCCCACTCCAGAATCCAGCCCTGATCCCAGTCCACAATCCACCTGATCCCACTCTGGAATCCTGCCCTGAGCTGGAATCCCCTTCCCATCCCGCTCCAACCATTAGGCCCCCATTCCCCTCTGGAATCCCGGCATCCATCCTGGGATCCCTGCCCAGAGGATCTGGATCCACACACGCTGCTGGGACTCACTGGTGGGCGCGGGGTCGTATCCATTCCCCTCCCTCTTCCCTATGGAAAGAAAGCGGGATCAGCACCCATGGCACAGGATCCCCGGAATGCTGCCGGGCGGATCCGTGCCCCTTCCCGACCCCCATCCCGGGAGTTACCGGATCGGAGCTTCCAGACACCGACTCCCAGGAGGCCGATGATGATGATGATGGCAGCGATGATGGACACAGTGTCCTAGTTAGAACAGCTGGGACCGATTCCTCACTGGATGGGTGTAGCCCAGAACTGTGGATTCTATGGCCTTCCATGCCATTTTCCCAGGAACTGTTGTCAGGAGAGGCCTGCGAGGTGGGGGGGATGTCCTGAGCACCCTCATACCCTTTTATGGACTGAGCATCCTCATAGCCTTTTATGGACTGAGCATCCTCATAGCCTTTTATGGAATTCCCCACTCTGAGGGAAGAACTAAGCATCCTTTTATGGAATTGCCCGCTCTGAGGGAAGAACTAAGCATCCTTTTATGGAATTGCCCGCTGTGAGGGGAGGACTGGGCATTCCTGCCTGAACTGGAGAATATATAAACCTGGAGTTTCGGAACCTTTTTACCACTTGTGGGATCCAGAGGAGGACTGCAGCTCACCGCTCTCAACCAGCCTGAGACCACCAACCTCAACTGGACTGCAATCACCACTTCTGACCAGACTGCAACAGCTCTCCCACCAGCAGGTTTTTCCCTCTCCCTTTCCTTTGGACTTTGGGGGGGCCCAAGGAACAGCACTTTGTTCATGGCCCAGGGTGCTGGGTTCTACATTTGGGTTTTGTGGATTAAAACCAATTGCTTGTCTGTATAATCAGACTTATTGGGCAAGGGGGGCCCAAGGGGGGCCCAAGGGGGCTGGGCCAGGGGGGGAAGGGCTGCAGGGGGCGGATCCCGGAGGAGGAAACCCGCCAAAAGTGGCTCAGCAATGGTAGCCGCGGTAGCCGCGGAGTGGGGAGAGCGGAGAGGGGCGATCCCGGAGCTGGGGGACCCCCGGAATGTTGGAGGGGGGGAGCAGAGAGGGAGCGCCGGGCCCCTTAAGCGGGGGTCCCGGAGAGGGGGAAGGCCTTGGAGTGTGGAGAGGAGGGGGGGCCTTGAGGCGGGGTGGGAGCCGAGAGCGCCAAGAGGTTTGCGAGGGTGGGAGGCGAGAGAGGAGGGCCGGCCGGCCCCGGGAGGCAGAGTGGGGAGAAGTGAGCCCTGGGACCCCCCTGGCAACACTCAAGGGGACCCCGGCGAGTGGGAACCCCCCGGAGCTGCGAGACCCCCGGCAGCCCGGAGAAGGGGGACCCCCAATGCAGGCAGAAGTGCCATCAGG